CAGCGATCAAAACGTAAGCAAGTCAGCATTTTATTCTTTCAGTCAAAATTTTTATATTTTCTTCATATGAAAATTGACAAAAGAGTTTGTAAAGAGGGTTCAAGTCACTAATGGGGCATAAGACGGGAAAAAAATGTTTAGGTATTTTTCTAAAACTGATAAAATTTAATTTTTGTTTAATTGTGGGTAAATAGTTGACTGTCATGAATAATGAAGAGAAGATATTTGGGGTGATCAGTCAAATAAGAAGCCAAAAATAAATGATAATTCTTATTTGGCATTTGCCGACGTTTCGACCTGAAGTTCAGGTCATCATCTGGGCTACTATTTCTTCTCTTCATTAATTTTTTTTTATCACATCTCATAGAAAATGTAATTTTGAGAAGAAAGTATTCTATTACCTTTTTGCGAAAATCTGTTCTGAAGAAATCTATGATAAAATATAACTAAAAAACGTGCAAAATTACGATTTTAAAATTGAATTCGCATCCAATCCTTTCAGTCCAAAGTCCTTCGAACAATAGTCAATGCTCCATATTATGTTACGAACAAGACCCTACACCATGACCTTAACATCCCATATTTCCATGACATCATCCCATCCAGATTCTTCAACTTTCACCAGAACCTCATTCATCATCCCAATCCTCTAGCGCAATCCCTATCCAGCTCCGAGCATCCATACCATCCCCCTCGAAGGTTGAAACGGCAGTGGCCTCGAGATCTTTTGTAAATATGCCTTTGGAGTCCTGGCAATGGCCAGCTTCTCCACTCATGCCCTGAGCGTCTGTGGCTGTAGTGCCCTCTTACAGTCTCCACTGGCTTCTAATACTAGTGATGCGGCTGGAAAAGCGGCACTGGGATCTTCCGGAGTCTTGCTTTGCCTTCCCCGTGTGGAGGGAAAAGCCTGGCTCGGAGATTCTTGGGCAAATGTGTATATTGTATATAGTTATGATTGTGTTTAGAAGTTTTTATTTTATTTTATTTGTTTATTTTTATTTACCTTCTTCATCAGTATTATTTATTTACTTCTTATATTTATATTTATTTATTTATTATTTGCATATACATTGTATGAATGAGAACTTTTAGCCCTAATGTGTATAGCCCTCCAGCAGTGGCTGATTGTATTATTATTCAATAAATAGATTAAAAAAAAATGAATTCTCTTTTAAGGGGGCACAGGCTATAGAATTTGGCTTATGTCATTTTGTTTCACATGAAACAATACACAAACCCATCTAATTTGGTTCGGTTCTAGTTGCTTCCAGATGAGATATCGTTATTCAAAGTTTTACACTTATTACTCAAAATAACTTTTGAATCTCCCACCCAAAAGTGCCAATAATGTATGTATTTGATTGATTTATGTAATTCGTATACATTCCTTATTATTTTTATTTATGTACAAAACTTTTAGTAGAGTCGGCATGTTGAATTTCAATAGTATTCCCAGAAGGCTAGATAAACAAGAAGAAGGTGAAGCAATCCAGTAATTCATTATAAAATTCTTAAAGTGCTAGTAAAAATCGAAGTTTTTTATTTATTTATTGAGTATTGCAACAATCTGTCTCTTGGACATTTGTTATAGTGAGGTAGAATAATATTCACACTATATGTATAAAAAATGTAAAATAAATAAAAGTAAAATAATAATCAAAAGCATATACAATAAATAAGAAAATAAAATAAAGTAAAAATAAGAAAATTAAAACTAAGTAAGAAAACACATGCGTACCTAAATACACTGAAATTTAAGGAAAATCATGTAAATAAAATATACAGATCACCAACAAGTGATGATGTAATGCATTACTTGCTTTCATCTCATGACCCGTATTATCATTCATTAGAAAAAATCATACTGAAAATAAAATATAGTAAACAAAAGAAATACAATTTTAAGTCCTGAAACATCAAATCCTTTAAATATCTCTAAGGACAATACTAATTGAAATTTATATATTTATGTTAGACTAATAAAGAAAAAGAAAATTATGGGTGATGCTTTCTGAGGTATACTACTGAAATTTAACACGATGAAACTAAAGTTGTGTACATAAATAAATATAATAAGGAATGTATACGAATTAAATAAATTAATCAAATATATACATTATTGGTGTTTTTAAGTTGACGATTTAATGGTTATGTTGAGTAATAAATGCAAAACTTTAAACGTCGATATCTCAGCTGGATGCTACTATAACCTAACCAAATTATATGGGGTTTATGTGCAACAAAGTGACATAAGTCATATTCTATAAATCGCCCTCCCCCCCCCCTTAAAAGATATTGCAATTTTAAAATCGTAAATTTGCACGTTTTTTTAAGTTATTTTCCATCACAGCTTTCTTTAGAAGGGATTTTCGCAAATTAATAAAATATTTTCTTTCATAAAAACATTTTCTATGAGATGCCCTAATCAAATTTGAAATTTTAATTAGTTTGAAAAATACTTAAAAATTTTTTAATTTTTTTGCCCCATTAGGTACTTAAATGATCTTTTTTTTTTAATTTGGATTACTTATTTATTGATACATATTACAATCTGTCTCAATAAAGGACGTTTATAATATAATTCAGAGAGCACATTCACACCATTTTTACAAAGTTAAAAAATAAATAAGGTAATTTCAAAATAATATACAGCGAAATAAGAACAAAGTAAAATATCATAATGGAGGAAGAAAATATAAATAATAGTAATAATAAAATTAAAATAAACATCTTAGACGCAGGAATACCTAAAATCATCTTTAGAAACTGTAACGTCAATGTTGTTATGAAGGAAATATAAAATATTTGCCTGGAAGAACAAAATGCCAAATTGTTTAAGTTTTGACCAATGGGAATCGGCGCCAATGCATATAGTTGAAAACACTATTTAATATGAATATAAATAACAACAGATTAAAATGTTTAATAAAGTAAATGACTCTTACAATATCTAAAATTCAAGGCTTGGAATCGATTTCTATCGAGGCTTTGAGAAATATAAAAAGAATTTGAGATGTTCACGATCAAAAGGAATGCCGAAATCCATTCTATCGAGTCCCAACATTTCGGTTTCACTAAAAGAATCTGACATCAGGTAGTTCCAACAGAAATGAGAATGATCGTATCGATAATTTTTTTTTTTTATAATTATAGAAAATCCTAAATGTCAATGTAATAAGATCTATTAAATATAAGTATATAAATTGTGATCCGACCTCGTATAGTACATATATCTTTAACGTCTGTACTAATATAAAATAATTTATTTTGTAACAAAAAAAGCGGTCGCATCCCGGAAATTTTGGATTATTGAGTATTTGGAATACATTACTCTATTTTAAAAAATAGACTTCAGCGCTACTTTTTTTTACATCCGAAAAATAGCTTATATTAATACGAATCTAGTTTGAAATGACCTAATTTTTAACGGCAATTAGGTTTATATTTAAGATTCTCTTTTATAATTCACGATTAAACAGGCCTTAAGAGCTGAGAAAAAAATAATTTATATAATTTCAAACAAAATTAACGTTATTTTTTTGCCTTGCCTGGACTTTCAGATTATTAGATACGAATCGATTTATTTTTTGTGAAGATAAAAAGATATGTTTTGAGTGAGAATATACTCCACTTTGCCAACTGTTAATAATAGACTTATTGTTAAAATAACCATATAGCTTAAAAAAGACAATCTAAAAATAAATTATATATAAACAAAAATGAGGACACATGAAGTTTGGAGGATTTTTTTGTAACCTAAAAACATAAAAATGGCACTCATATATAAGAAAATATATTTTAATCAAAATATAAATCTATATATTATATAGATATAATATCAATATAATTGAAAATAGAAGAGGAGATTAAGGTTAAGCTGAAGGCGGGAAATGTTTGTTATTTTTCTGTTACAACACCACTTGTCTTGCCCGAAACATAAAAACTAGAATTATAATACTATTATCTTACCTGCAATGGGTGAGAAACGTGAACGCTTGTATTAAGGGATCAGCAACGTCTTAATATTTTTGATAATAAAGTATTGGGTAGAATATTCGGACCAAAGAAGAATGAGTTAAAAGGAAAGTTCAGACGATTACACAACCCCGAATTGCGTGAACTACGTCCGGTTAATATAATTGACATTCCATAGCTTGTAAAATTTTTAGGCTTAGTAACGACAGAATACCACAGAAAGGTAATATTTAATGAAACGAATGGTAAACGTCCGAGGGAAAGACCGAAGCGAAAGTAGGAAGATTGCATTAAAGCTGATCTGAAGGGACTGGGTTTGAACGGCGAACGGTGGAGGGAAGTGTGTAATCAGCGATTAGTGGTGTCGTCATGGAACCTTGGGGTTCGCTAAGAATTTTATTATTATTACATAGATATAAATAAATATATTATATAAAAATATATTTAGCTATTATTTTATTCACCTCTCATAATAAAATCATTTTTATTTCTATCTTTTGTTTAAATTGTGACAAAATATGAAATTTGTAGTATGACAATATTTTATTTGAAATTGGGGAAAACTGTTATTATAATACGAATAACTAATCAGATGACTAAAATTGAACTGATAAATATGTTTAGTGATTTTCGAATACATGTGTTAAAGGAATTGACTACACGGACCCCTTAAACTAAACGAACAGTGATTACAATTATACTTACTACTAATGTAAAAGGGAAACATCTTTTTTTATTATATGTTGCAGCATTCCATTCATTAAACAGTACTCATATTATGAAAAAATATATAAATATACTTACTAAGGAGCCATTGATAACATATACAAATATGGCCATTCAAACTTACTATTCAACTACAACAAATATTTAGGACGATAATAATGAAATTTCGTCGTGTTATTCAAATTTCGAACAGCTATTTAAAATTGAAAAGATACATTTTATTAGTATTTTATACATATTATTAGTAAATGTAATAGTGAATAAGTCATATTAATTATTATTTATTTCATGAAAAACAGGAGAGACACCAGCAGCGATGCAACATGGATGTGCAGCAACTTCGGCAAATCTTGGACTACTCACGTTGCTGTCGGCAGTCCTTTCTGCACTCAGCTGACTTCCCTAAGAACCATTTTGTCTTCATGGAATTTTTGAGATCGTAACACATACCTATAAAAAAAAGTAAAAATATTTTGAATGTCAACTAAATGTAATTTTATTATTTATCAAAGTTTTAACGAACTATATTTGTAAATAGTTGTATACATACATATATGTATTAAACAGTGCATTTGTCAAATCAAATAAAGAAATATTGGTGTATAAATGTAGAATGTATATTTGTAAGAAACATGTGTTTAATATTTTATGTACAGGGTGATTTTATTAAAATCAATAATTAAATAAACAATTATTGTTGATATTTTTATGTGTACATGTTTCATGAATTTATTCATCATTTAAATAAGAATGAAATTTGCGTTTTAAATCTAAAACGACGGAGGGTACACGACCTTCCTATTAACTCATGGAAATATGTAAAATAATTTATAGAAATTTTTATCTGCACAAAAAAATTACAATTTTATAAACAAGAATGATTTTTTAAAAAGTCTAATATTTATTCAAAGCTAATGAATTACAAAAAGAATAAATAGGCATTCAAGAAAGAATACATTCGATATAAACTGGTCACTTTCTGACGGCCTATTTTTTAAAAAATAAGTATTAACTCACCTGAAAGTACTTCCTTAGAAAAAAAAAACTTTAATTATAATAGTTTTTTTTACTTAATAATTAAAATGTAGAAATGCTAAAAATGGTAAAAATGTAACCATTAATACAAACAATGTTTTATATCACTAAATATTTGTTGTTGTTTTTTAACCCATAAATGTTCAACAGATTATAATAAATTAAAAAAAGGTATGTTGAAAAATGTTTGGTGCATTAAATAATTGACCAGATATTTAAATTATTTAGACATAAAGTTTTCCCGACCCATAATTTTTTATCAATGATAGAAAAATTTTTAATTTTAATTTTTTTTTTTTTACAATGAATGTTACACTTCCTTTTTATAATATTATCCTATTGGATGAAATATTAGTCTTTCTTATTTAAATTTAATATAATATTAAATATAATATTATTTAAATTAAAAAAAAAAACTACTTCAGGCGATGGTAATGAAATGTGTACATTGTTCATTTCAGCATTTTGTTTTCAAGCATTTAATATAATTAAATTTGAACTTTTAATCAATAAATTTTGTACAGTATTTTCAATATTTTGTATAGTTTTATGAAAAAAAATAAGTTACAATCTCTCTAAAATAAGTTTAATTTTAAAAACTAATTCTTGGTTTGAATCAATCAATACATTTTAATTTCAATGGACTTAAATATTATCGTAAACTTTTATATAAAATATAATATATGTGCATCATGAATGTTTGCTCAATATTTTTTTTTTTAATTTCATTCTTTTCTCACAACCTAATCCATTCTAACATGAAATTTTAATATTCTGAAATTGTATAAAACTTACTGTACAATATTTGTGTTTATCATGTCAAGATTTGTTGTAATGTTGGCCTAAATATTAATTTAATATTATAGATTATCATTTAATTACTATTTATTAAAAAATAATTATTTTATTTAAAGAAAAATTCATTTTATAATTATTGTTCTTTATTTTAATTTATTTTTAAAAAATCTGTATATTTTAATGTTTTTATATATATCACAAAAATATTTTAAAAACATGAAGTATGAGTGAAAATATTTCTGGGTATATTCTATTGTTAAACCTGTAAATTTATTTTGTAGATAAAAGATCAACAAGAAAGTGTTATACGATACTGTTAAATGACATTTTTGTATAAATTTTGATTATGAGAGACTGTCATTATTAATAAAATTAAAATTTCTAACAGTTTCGCTTTAATTCAAAGTCCCTTGCATAAAATTTGTTGATATTTAGATTAGAACTCTGTTGTTTTTTTTTTCATGTTTTCAATGTACTTTTTTATTTTAAGACCATGAACAGTTCGTGTTCACTCATCTCTTAGGTCATATTTAAATAAGTTATGAACGGATCATGTAAATACTGAACAGTGATGGGACAGAGAACGAAATTGGGCTATTTTTACAAAAATAAGTATCGATGTATCCTTTTTCCTCTTCAGGAATAAATCGCCCTGTTTTCTCGAGATAGAAGAGAGTATTTGTGCATTAACTTGGACCATAAATATTTTATTGACCCTTTCTTTCTTTCTTTTTTTTTTTTTTTATTCTGGCAATTCTAAACGAGTAGGGAAAACATGATTTGACTTGGTAAATATATTCCTTTGAATAAAATACATTGTTCAGCTCTTTCCTTTTTTTTCTGTTTGGATGATTAATAATTGCTAAAAGATGGGAAGATTGATCCTGATAAAATAATTACAAGCTCGCATACTGTTGCAAAAGGGGCAATTAACTCTGGTAATAATCCTCCGCTCATCCCCCTGGCACACTGATAAGGTACTATACCAACGACGATTTCGGTTTATTGGGAGTTACAGTTCTCCTAGATAACTGGAAAAAAATTTTAATTTCGTTCATTCAGTATAATTATTTTAAAATTTTAACCTAACGAATATTAACCTAAAATCAAGTTTAGAAATAATAATAATAAGAGACAATGATCAATGTTCAAAACATTTTTTATCAACTAAAAAAGCTAAGATAAAAGTAATAATTTAATTGAGTATAAAAATAATTTATATAGCAACTGTCATCGGTAAAGAACCTCATCATCAACTGTTTTTATAGATATATGATGTCGCAATGGTATGTTTCAATGATAAGAAAATTATCTTATTAAGAAAGATAATCTTAAAAAAAAAGAAAGAAGAACGAAGGTAAGAAATTCCTTTAGGCGACACTCTATACTGGCACCATTTCGATAAACTTCATTGTGAAACTCTATAATAGAATTTAATTAGATGGTGCTGCCAATGACTCTGCAGGGAAGAAATAATCAGTCATTTTCGAAAATATGTCTTACAAATGAAAATTTAATTAATTTATTTTTTTAATAGATATTGGTTTTTAAATTACAATTGGAACCGATAATAATAAGGTTAATAAAAAAAATGACCGTTTCATCAAATTGATGATTTCAAAGGACTGTAAATATTTTATTACTTACCGATACTTAATAATACATTTAAATATTCTTTAAGCTTGTTTAATCCCATTCGACTTCTTCAAAAAAATCCTCAGTTTAGGAATTTATTTCAAAGAAGAAACGTGACAGTGTCCTACGAAATTTTCCTAATTTTAAGAGATTACTGAAAAAAAAAAAATCTCGGCGGCTGAAGTAACTCATGTAATTATTAAATATAAAGAGGAATGTGTCCTTGACCAGCGTACTGCGCAGTGTTGATTTGAAGAATTTAGTAGAAGAGATACGACGTTGGAAAGGAAGAAGGTCTCCGGGCGAACATTAATGGATATTGATGAGGTTCTACAGGAAGCTGTTGATTCAAACCCGTTCACAAGTTCTCGTGAATTTGCCAGGGTGTGCGGTGAGTTGAAAGATACTGTTAGTCGCCATCTACTCTCCATGGGGAAAGTGACTGGGCAATAGTAGTAGACTGGTCCCTCACGAACTTACTCCTCGGCAATCAGCTAAGAGGTTAACAATTTGTGAAAATTTATTAAAATGTCCTGGAATGAAAAATTCCTGCCTCATCCACTATATAATCCGAACCTCGCATCATCGAATTACTACTTTTTTATATCCATGGCCCATTTTCTTCATTGGAAAAACTTTTAATAATTTTGTGGAAGTTGAAATTTCGGTCCAAGAGCTCTTTGACAGTAATCCCACTGGTATCATCATGGGATCCAGCGATTGGCTAGCAGACGACTAATGGCGTTAGATAAAAACGGACTATACTTGTACTGTGGACTATTTTTGTATTTTATATAATTTTTTTTTTCGCATTTCCTGAAAGAATGTTAATAATGATTAGGGCTCACTTTACAAATAACCAACTCATTTAATAAAATTATTTTAAGTAACATCTATTGTTTCGATATAAATTAAATGGGTCTTGTATAAAACGGGAACGGTGTTAAGGGGACAAGAGTGGATTATCCCGCCCGACAGCTCTGCAATTCAGACTAATTAGGATTTTAACTGCAGCACTGAAAAAAATATGTCCATTTAGTTTTTCGAGTAACTTTCCGCCTTATAAGAAAATCAAAGCTATTTACTAAATGGCTTAAGAGGAGTAGAAACCAGCTGGTAACAAATCGTTTGATATACGGCTTTAAACGGGAGCTTAAAACGGAAACAAGTCTTTTATTTTTAAAAACTTATGATATCAACGGAAATTTTATTTTTTCAGTTCTTTTGGAACTGGGTCTTTATACCTCTCAATTTGCAAGTAAAATTCTTACACAACTTTTATTTAAAAGATCTGTCGATTTTGCTAAAAATTACTTCTATCCATGTCAAATCAAACAAACGACATATTAGAATCCTGTGTAATTCATTAAAGACAAATTATAACCTTCATTTAAGCCCAGTATCCGTCTATTTTTCATTTATTGGAATATTTTTTAAGAAATTACATAGATAAAAGTTAAACTTTTACCAGAAATCTGAAACTCCAGTATAGAAAAGTTCCTTAGTACTTATATTTTAAGAATTTTTTTCCTAAAGATTTTTTGGAGAAACTGTTAAAATGGAACTATTTAAAAAAGTTTCACAGAAACTGATTAAAATAGGTCCATTTAAACAGTTGTTGTTCATAAATTAAATAACTAATTTTTACCTATTGTTTAACTATTCTCTTTCAGTAGTTTGACCGGAAAAGTATGATTAGACCTGTTATAGTGCTTAATATATTTGTAAAGGTGCTTTATTGTAGAAGTACGCCCTCGGTATGGAGAATGGAATTTATACTGAAAGCGTCGTATCTGCTAATAAATATATTTTAATGAGACGATAAATGAAACTTTATTTATTTTAATTTATTTTTTAAACTATTACAAATACCAACCGTATGATCCTCACCAGACCCTTTAATTAACCAATGCAATTAGGAACAAAAGAAACGGCGTCTCAGTGTATTATTTTAGGTAATCCCTGAAAATTTACTCAACAAGTTAAATTTATCTGAATGATTAAACTTTATCCCTCAATCTGAACCTTAACCTAGGCAGAAAGCGAGTCTTCTGCGAAAGGGAAAGAGAAGATTGAATCGAAGGAAGCAGATGTATAATTCAACAAGGATCCGACTGTGGCTGCTAGTCCAACTTGTCTTCAAGGATAATCTAGTCTCGTCGACTTCGGAATCATATCCCAGGAAAGGTCCATTGAAACATGTATTATGAAGTGAGATCAATAAGCAAATTTATTTTATTTGCAACAAGGAAGATTATTTTCTAATTATTTCAGATAACTAACAGAACAATTCGAAAGGATTCAGTGAATGTGATAGTCATATTTAAAGGAAATGAAATCAAATATAATCTTGAAACAGAAACATTATATCACTTGCTAGAAAAACAAACATACACATCGCATGCCCATTGGTTAACATACGAATGTAAAAATTATTATTTTTCAGAAAACTAAAAAAATCTGGTTTCACACAACATTCACTGTTAACCCTACTTTGAGTAGAAATAGATATTTTCATGCTTATGGAGGTTAATGTAAAAAATATGGATGGTACAGCATACTAATCCACAAATGCTTTTCCCACTCATACGATCTACAAAACTTTTACCTTTCCCTTCCTCATCACCGAAGGCATAGAATTTTTGTATTCGTGCAGCAGGTTGAAAATAATTTATTTCTCAGAATCGAAATATTTCACTCATGTTTTACGTTTCAGAAATAAAATTTGCTTCATTGTCTGTCTGAAGTCAAATAAATGTGACGGACATACCGCATTTACTGTATTTGAGATTTTTAGTTGACTGTATGACTAACTCCAATTTCAACATTTTTTATTACTGATTTAAGTGATCTTTCAAGTGGAAAAATTAATACCTTTATTCACAGCTGAATGTTTCAGCTGTATATTTCAAAACTGAAGTCAGCTACTCTGGAATCAACTTATTCACTGTGTCTAGAGATATAAATTTTCAAACTAGAAATATCACCAAAATGAATTTTCTCAAAAATGGTGAAATTGGAATTCTGTCATTCTGTCAACAGAAAGACTCCTTTGATATATATATATATATATATACATATATATATATATATATATATATATATATATATATATGTATATATATATATATATATATATATATATATATATATATATATATATATATATATATATATATATATATATATATACATTTATGTTTATATTTGCATATAGAAAATAAATAAATATCAGAGTTAAAACAACCCTCCCCGAAACTGGGATACGAATTCACGTAATTATGTTATCATTGTCATCTTCGGTTTGTCCGGTTACCTGGCATCGCTGATTTAGCTCGCTCGACCACCCTGGCTTCATGCCTCCATGCTTTAATATACTTGATTGATGTATAATTT